GGAGAGAAGAGGAATGAAAGTCAGTCGAAGTGAGACAATATGTGTGTGAATGAGAGGAAGACAGGTGGAAAGGTGAACATGCAAGGAGGGCAAGTGGTGAAGGTGGATGAGTTTAAATACCTGTGGTCAACCATCCACAAACACGCCAGTTCGCAAGAGAGGTGAAGAAGAGCGTGCAGACGGGGTGGAGTGGGTGGAGATGAGAGTCAGGGGTGATTTGTGACAGAAGGAAAGCAGCGAGAGTGAAAGGGAAGGTTTATTAGATGGTAATGAGACCTGTGATGGTGCATGGTTTAAACTGGAAAAAGCCAGGAAGCTGAGCTGGAGGTGTTGAGTGAGAAATAAGTGGAGCAGAGAGGCAGGATACACAGGTGTGGTTTGGACATGCGCAGAGGAGGGAGAGTGGACATGATGGGCGTGGCAGAGTATAGGATAGGGTGAGATGGAGGTAGATGACCCCTAAATGGGTTTATTCACTGCCATATATTCAAGCCCGATTCTATTAACTATTAAATGTTATTTTACTAATAATATATTAAATAATTTTGGATTTTAAACTTAGTTTTCACTGTTTTCTGTCAGTAGGAGCAGCGCCCTCTGCTGGTGTCTCCAGACTTGGACCGCGGTTTCTCCTCCTGTTTGCTTCGGTACGTTCGTCTGTGTTAAACTCTTATAAATCCTTTAAATATGAGATTATTTCTGCTGTTAAACGGAGTGTTGTTTGTAATTTTCATGTGACAGTAGTTCTTCAGCGGTCAGTGTAACTCTGTCGGGCACAGGTGATCTCGGCTAGCGTAATTGATTAGCTCTAACAGCCGAGCTTGCTAGCTAACAGTCAGGCTAAATGATTTCTTCAAATAAATAAATAACAGGGAGACCAACGTTTTGTGCTGGTTCACTTGTAAAAGCCTATATGACATTTGAATTTCACCATTCATTAACCACACGGAGAAGGCATCGTTTAAATATGTTAAAAAATGTTTTTATAAACAAACAGTATTATTAAAGTTCTTCATGTTGGGCCAAGTGTCCTCTTTTTTTGGAAGTCAAAATATGCTCACCCTATAAATAATAAAGAAAGAAGTCCATCCAATAGAAATTTGCTGGGGTTGTCACTGAAATAATGAAAGGCAGGTCCATAAATACATACAGTAATAATGTATTTGCACTAGTTTAATTTCAGCTCAGTGTGAGAGTCTTTACTGCCTGTTCTTAGTTTAAAGAGTTTCTAATTGCTCCGCTTTCTAGTCACATATGAAGTCAAATAATATTAATGAAGTTGAGAACATGTTAACAAAAACAAGATGCCAGCTTCCTGTTTTTGTTTTGTTTGTTTTTTCATTTGACCTTTTTACTTTTGTTCTAATACTGCTGTTTTACCTGTTTACAGTATTTTTATTGGATTACTGTTTCTGTATCCTTTGCATTATACCTGCTGCTAATGCATAGTAAGTTCTGAGCTTGAGGACAGAGAAGTTATATGGACCAGATCTCATGTATTTATTTTCAATCCTGCATTTTTTTATTTCTTTTCTCATCGTTTTTAATGTGTTTTCAGGTATGTAACTGTCAGTTTCTTCTTTTTCATTTTCTTTATTTGCAGATCTTTCACTTCCTGTCTGTGCAGGGTGGAAGAGAAGACTGACAGCTGACACCCAGATGAACATCAGCCAGGTCAGGCCGGCTATCATGTTTACTGTAAATGTCCAGTTGTGTCTTAGTTCCATACTTCTCAGAGTTGTTATTTAATGAAAACGAATGCCTCATAGAAACAAACACACAGATCAAATCTTAACCTCCTAAGACCCGAACTCTTCCACAGCATTTTTAATTTCTCTTTGATATTTGGGCTGATTGGGACCTGATGAATGTAAAAACAAAGAATTACTAATTTATTTTTTACCTAATTTTTTTTTCTGAGAAAAATGAGAGCCACTTATGAGGATATTTGATTAAAATTTTGATAGAACAGTAGCAGTATAATGTCCTCGTAAGTGGATATCAGGCCCCTGTAGAGCAAAATTTAGTATTTTGGTCTAAATAACCCAAAATGTGATGTCCACATATGTGGACGTCAGGTCCTAGGAGGTTAAATAAAGACACATTCTGATTTCTTTAACAGAATCACATGGAGAATGTGTAGCATTGAACATGGGACACATTTTGCCTGTCTTCTGTGTTATTTTGCTTGTGGATAAGCCGGTGATGGTTGCATGCTGTAATTTGGCTTTAGGCGTGTAAATATCAGAAATATTCATTGCTCCTTTGAGTATGGGAACCTTCGGCACGATAAATGTTTACTGCCTCAGCTAACAGGTGAGTTTCTGCCGGGACTCTGTTTAATTGCTGTTCTGAAGTGCGCCTGCTAACGCTGCTGGCTGTTTTCGTTGCTCTCTGCAGATCTGCTCCTGGCTGATTGTTCTGGTATCTGTTGGCTGAAGCTTTGAGCGTTCATACTGCTGTGTGCAGTGTTTGTTTTAACTCTTTGTAAACGTTATTCTGCTGGCTGAGCTGCAGTCATTTCCCTGTTTTTTGCTTGGCACGTGCAGTTGGTGCTTTCATGAACAACATGGAGTGTGAACACAGGTTATTTGAGCCATCAGGGTTATTTTTTGTTTTTGTTGTGGCTGTTCGCAGGAAAAGCTACCAGGCCAAATTTCATGACAGTTTGTGGAGATGTGCAGCTTATGATTAAATATTGGTGAATTAACCCATTAAATATTAGCATAGACATCGATCTGTCCTAATCAACCAATGGATTATTTGGATTGACATCTCCGCAGACAAATTCCTACTCTCGTTTTTTTAAAAATGTGGTAATATTTACCATCTCAGCTCAAACGCCTCATTTCCCTCTTACTTACAGTGCTTCAGATTTTTATACTGCCTTTGCTTTTTGTTTTATTTCGAGTGCGGCCTTTCTCTGCGGCTGCAGGGGCAGCTCTCTGTGTTTGCTCTCTTTAGAGATTGGCAGCCAGATACAACAGCAGCACCCTGACTGAGCTGTTTGCACGCGACTGTTGTGTGAATGAGTGTTGATCTTATGGTTTGTTACCCAGACGGATGCTGTTAGCTGTGTGAAGGGATATTCTGTTGTTTGCAACTTTCTCATTTTACATAATTTTACATCTTTTTACATTTTACTGTAGCTGAAACCAAAACGCCATGGTTTTTGAGCCTGCAGTTAATATTTAAACACATCTAAGATCAAGTGAGGACAGATATGGAAGTCAAGTTGTTGTCAGGGCAGTACCTCTTGTACAGCAATATTTTATGTAGGGATTTTATCATTTGAGCAATAATAACAACAGTATTGACTGATATGTGAATGTGAATCAGTTGTTTTATCTACTAAAACATTGACTGAACATTAGAAAATATGAGATTCGGCTAACAGAAAGATATTTCTTAAGCTCTGCAACTCTTTGAACCCTCTGTTGCTCCTTTGGGAATTCAGACTTTTCAGTGACAACATAAAAATACAGATTTTGTTGTTGTAAATGGATAAACATCCCTCTTTTCTTTTCCCAGGTGAAGTAATTTGCTTGTCTTTCTGTGTTAGTTACCATACGTACTGATCTTCAGGGTCATTTAGGAAAAACCGCTTGTTTCATTTGACCAAGTCTTGTTTAAATGCCTGTAGATTATAAGTGATCTGTGGAATTGCAGACCCTACGCTACTTCACTGAAAAATGGTTCCACTTAGGGGTGGGCGATATAAACGATATACGATAGAAACGATATAAATTTGGCCAACGATAGAGATTTTGACT